TTTTCCAATGAACGATGTTTTCATGCTTCGAAATGCTAATATATATATCGGGAGACCTTCGGCAGACCCTTAACTGGGACACGAACCCGGAACCTAGTTCAGTTCAATTAGAAGTATATAGCTTGTGAGTATTTAATTAAGGAGCGCAAAAAAATTGATGTATTGATTCTGCTCAGAAGAATTGATTTATTAATTCTATTGAATTTCATGCACATCATGTTGGCAAATTATTGCCAAAAATTTTCCACTTCCCTTGAATATTGTTGCAAGTGCGTTTTCAGTAGCCTGCAAAATAAGTAGCGAGAAGCCCTACAAGCGCCCAACCAAAACTCGTCTTGCGTATGGTCAGTAACCCAGGTGCGAGTAATGTTCGTATTCGCACTCGTAACCGTATATTGTCGGATCGTTACTGGGGGGCTACTTGGTATGCCCGGTGCGAGAGTCGACGCTCAATTTCAATTGGTTTGGTAGCTTATTAATTACCTCACCGCACAATTGCGTGTGCCGCATACAAAGGCGCCCACCACCAGCAGCAGTTGTCGGACCAGCAAACCGGCCAAATAGAACCCACAAAAGGCGTTGGACGCAACGTCGGGTAATTCGAGCTACCGCCTGCCCCCGTAAATGGAGCGGCGTTGATGTCAATGCGCTTCGTCGCCAGTCCAAAGCCAAAAGCGCTAAACAGTTACATTTTATTTTATTGTTGTTGTTGTTGTTGCTATTGTATTTTTTTGTTGCTATTTCTCGTTATTTACGGTTGCTTTCTGTGCAGTTTTTGGCAAGCATAAACAAATGAAGAGTTGAACCGAAAAAAAATTGAGAGTGATTTTTTTTCTGTCTCTTTTGTTATTTCTCAAATGGCAAACTAGTTTTCGTTTTATTACATTTTTTGTTGTTGCTATTTCTACGTTTCGCTTTGCATATTTTTCTTCAAGTGTCATACGCTGTCGTTGTTGTTGTTGATATTTTTGTTGTTGTTGCTATTTACTTTCAAATGTCAAACGGAGTTGAAGGTGGCCCGGTCTGCATATATAGACACAGATATTTTTATATGATTTATATTGAGTCATGTTTTTTGATGCTGCCAAACAAATGACTTGGGCAACGAACTTGACTCAGGTATTTTATTCGTAGTTGCTTGCAAGCTGGACTTTGGCAATGGTATTCCATTTTTTTGAGGTGTGAGAATTCTCTATGAGTTGATAAACCAGTTAAACGAAAATACCATATATATATTTTCAAAAATCAACTAAACTTAAAATAGAAGCTGGTTCGATAGATAATTTCCATGCACATAATTTTATAAAAAACCATTCAGAGGAATTTTCTAAAAACCTTGCCCATGATTTTTTCGAAAGTAAATGACACAAAAGTGAGCAAAAAACTAAGAAAGTGCCATATATTGTTTATCAAAAATTTATTTGCGAAGTGTTCGAAAAGACACAATAAATACTGTGCTCCAAATCTAAAGCTTATCTTTCAAAACAAATGGTGCCAAACGCATTTAATAGTTTACAAATCTTTAATAGTTAATTGCTCAAAAATGATAAACGCACGCATGACTCGCTGCGAATGCCAAGCATTCAACAAATCGCCGCTCACAATTTAATTAAATGCAATGCACGATGCGCAAAACTCATTAACAAATGGCAAACAACTCCATAAACAATTTCGTGTCATAAACAAAATCGTGCCATACTCAAAATAGTTGCTAAAAAGAAAAACTGCGGAGTTGAAGTGAAACTTAATGAAGCCTGAGAAAGTTGCGAGTGCTGTCTGAACCCAGCTTAGCACAGCTCAAGTGACAATCAAAATTTGATTTAAACATAAAAATAAAACAAAACAGCAAATAAATTGCAAGCAACAACACAAATGCGATAATTGCTAACAAATTTGCCGGACAACGCATGCCAAACATGCAACAGCAGCAACTGCAGCAACTGCAACAACTTCAACAATTGCAACAGCAGCAGCAAGCAGAAAAACAGCAAGTCTTTGGAGACGGCCTTTATATATTTCCGTCTTTGCTTGGCTGTCCATTTGAGGCTTCGATGAACCAAGTGCAGACACAATCATTGCATCGTCCACTTGTTCTTAAGCTGCTGCTTCTGCTGCATCTCTGTGCGCTGACCCAGTTTGATGCAAGTGGAACACACAACTACATCGGCAAGGTGGCCATAAATAGCCGGGCGCTGATTTCTAGAGACCAGACTCTTTGCCACTCAGCGGCGATATCTTCACTCAATGAAGACTCAAGTTACGGGTTTGTTGCTTAAGTCTTTCTCAATGGGTGACTCAAGTTTGTTGCCTAAGTCTTTCGTTCTGAAAGAGAAACGCCAGCTCCAGACTTCAAGAGCAGCATGACTCTCTCAGCAAAACAAGTTTATGTTGCTGTTGTTGTTGTTGTTGTTGTTGCTATTGTGGCTGGCACTTTGCTTTTGGCTGGCTCGGCTTTTTGGGATGCTGCAGAACTTTCTTTCATTGATTCTAGCGGATCGCATATAAATAACAAATTAAGACTTTCTTTCTGCAAAGCATCGCAACATGGAGGCAACCAACTCCCTGACTATCACTCTATCCATCTGGCCGTTTGTGGTTTTGTCTCATCATCTATTGAATTGTTTCTTATTTATTTAGAAGCAGCCAGCTCTCGCCTCGTTCGTAACCCAAATACGCTCGACTACGCTCTTTCACCTGGTTGTGGCGACTGGCTAGATTGTGTGCACCTTGTGTCATTGTTGGGTGCTGTGGATTCGGTTTCGGCTTGAGCTCTCGTTGTTGGCACAACAAGACAACAATTTACATGCGTGTCGTGCAGGGTTCCCCGCACTGTTTTGGGCGGGGATCTTACGATTTTTTTTTTCTTTTTCTCTCAATTATTTGCCTTTATCTGAGTCTTCATTAGTTTGACCCAATTTCAGCTTGTGCCTGGCTCTGCACTTGGATGCTGTGTTCTTTTTTTTTTACTTTCTATTTTCTCTTAACGAACTCTAGAATTATTGATAGCCGGCTTGTTAACATTTCGATTTTCTTATTATTATTATAAGAGGCGTATTAAGTTAATTTACTTTCATTTGCCAGCTAGTTGTACGAACTTTGGATTTCTTTTGTTTCCGATGGGGAATTAAATTTTATTTTCTTTAAGTTGTTGAGGCGTGGCCTTCCGTTTTCACCGTAGAGCTGGTAATGCGTTATGTGGGACAAGTTTGAGATGTGATTTTATGAAATTAAATAAAGAGAAAGGTAAAGGTCAATATGTGGACTAATTTGGGATTTATATATGCATATTTATATATATCAAATTGTTAATTCTAATTGACAAATTTGCGGACTGTCTGACTGATTGGTGATCAATGCACAATTTACCTTATGTGATGTAAGCACAAGATTTTTAAAAATTGCGCCATCAAAATATTATTTTTACTGCCTGATCACAATCAAACTTATTCGCAAATATCTATGCCAAATTTAGTGAAGATATTAATTGATTTCATATCTTTACGAAATACTTCGCTAAGTATATTGTTATTAAATGTATTTCCTTTTTATTTTGCAGGTAAGTTCCAACTCGTTTCAATTCACACTCACAGAAAAAGTAAACTCAGATAAGTACACCATTGCAATATCAAATAAATGTGAATGTTTTGAGAGAAAATATAAATGTAACTCAAGTCATATACAGTGGTTACTAGACCATTTTCAACTGCCAGAAAGTAGAACTGTTAAGTATATAGGAATCGCAATTTTGCACTTTTCGAACGCATTTCATCTAAAATTTGTATATATGTGTCAATGTAGAGAATCAATAGGGATATTCCATTGAATAAGTGACCGAGGCTCATGCGAATCGCAGGGTAATAAACGATTTAAACATTTGAAAGGCGTCTTTTAGATAATAGGCTTGTGCGTCTAGTTCGATAATGTTGACATTTAGAGCAGGTCATGGACAGTAAACCAGGCTGGAAAAACTTTCCGAGATGAACATTATACAAAACCAAATAAAGTTGTGAATCAAACTAAAAAACTAGTTTGCATAAAAGCAGACAGGCGGTCAGTTGGACGGAAAAACATGTCTATATCAACTCGGCTGTTGGTGGTCTGAAATGTCTCCTTAAATGCGTTATATATATCATGACAAAATCATAATACCCTTAACAAGGGCCTTAAACTGTCTTAAATGTCAGTACAAAATGGTGTTTCAGCAATAAGAATTTTGATTACTTTCTGAAAATAAGATTCCGCTTCACTAATCCAATTATTTATCAAAAAGAAACCATTTACTTGGTGGTTAACTCTTTCAACAATTGTGAAACCCAATTGTTAGCTACTCTTAATGATCGTCTCACATGTTTGACCCGTTTTGAACTTATCGCAGCGGTGCTCCATCTTTTGTAAACTTCTAGTTCAGGGAATTTGAGGTCAACGTTTGTTTAAGTAATCGAAATGATTAGAGGCATTTATAAAGTTAATTTAGTGGGTCAGCCGCCTTTCAGTCGAATTGGCAATAAAGTTATAAATCTTGCGGAACAAACATATTTTAACGAGTGCGTGTAAAAGTGATGGCAAAAATGTTTCAAAATAGAAAGCAGCAAAAACAATTAACATAAATTATGATATAAACCGAAACGAACTGAGCTGAACAGAACCAGATCCACTTGGAGCTGTCAGCGTTTCTGTGGAATCTACGGCGGCGGCATTGTTTTTTATCGTTAACGGATTAATTGACAAATGAGTTTAAGGTTTTATGCATTGCCATTTGGGTCAAGTAATGTCTGAGGGTTTTTGTTTTTGGAGGATCAACTGGTTATTTGCAAATTATGCAAAAGTTAAGCTGATAAAAATTTGATTGGCACTTTTACAGCATCATTAGGCTATAATGAATTTGGAATTTGGCTTATAGATATAAAGTTGCCAGCCATGTGGCTGGCCTATAAGAACCGTTAAAGTCGACCTGTTTGCAGACAGTTGACTTTTACCTCGCGGTTCGTGCGGTTCTCGAGATGATATCCAATTCCAATACTTTTCTCTGCCTCGGCTACATTTGTAGTCTAGCCCTATGTGTTAGCTGCTATGGCTATAAGCCACCATTTCGTGGTTACCAATATAACAAGCCCGCACGGTTGCCGCCTCTGCAAACCAATAGCTCCTCAACAGCGGCCGGCATGCAATCGGATTACATTGAGGATCTAATCGAAGAACAAAAGCAACAAATCTTGTCAAATGTGCTGGGCGGAGCCGCTGCCTCCGCTTCTACTTCGCCAGAAGAGGCAGACCTGTCGCCATTTGACAGCGATGCAAAGGCCTTCCGCGTCAACCGTTGCGCCAGCTGTTGTGAGTATCACTGGGCTCTAAAGAGATTGTACTTTGGATTGCTATACTCTACCATCGGATATGAAACCCTATTCACGTCCTTGCAGCCTGCGGCGTACCAAACGCCAATCGCATTGTGGGCGGCACTCAGGTGCGCTCGAACAAGTATCCGTGGATAGCTCAGATGATACGCGGCTCGTTTCTCTTTTGTGGCGGCACTTTGATCAACGATCGCTACGTGCTGACCGCCGCACATTGCGTCCATGACATGGACATGTCTGCGGTGTCGGTGCGTCTGCTGCAGCTGGATCGCAGTTCCACGCATACGGGAATAACCCGAGCCGTTTCATTTGCTCATGCCCATGCGGGCTATGATCCTGTCAGTCTGGTGCATGATATTGCCCTGCTGCACCTGGATCAGCCCGTGCCACTGGTGCAGTTCATGAGACCAGTTTGCCTGCCTAGCAGTCGGTTGCAGCAGTTCGATTACCAGAAGGCCATTGTGGCGGGCTGGGGACTTAGCTACGAGGGCGGCACCACTTCCAGTGTGCTGCAGGAGACCATTGTGCCCATCATCACCAATGCTCAGTGCAGGGCCACATCCTACAAGTCAATGATTGTGGACACGATGCTGTGTGCGGGCTATGTGCAAACAGGCGGCCAGGATGCCTGTCAGGTGGGCTAAGAGCTGGACGATTGATCCAAGCTTTGCCTGATCGTTGGCATAATATTTCTCGCATGCTTGCAGGGTGATAGCGGTGGTCCGCTTATTGTGCCGGATCGCATCTTCCGTCTCGCTGGCGTTGTTTCCTTCGGCTATGGCTGTGCCAAACCAAACGCGCCTGGCGTCTACACAAGAGTCAGCAGATACTTAAACTGGATTGCTGCCAATACCCGCGACTCCTGCTATTGCAATAAATAATATAAAACTTCGGATTCTTTTGTCGCCACTCTAGCCTTTCAGATAAAATAATATATGTATCAGCGTGAAAGTGGCAAGTTTTCTGTTGAGGAACTGAACTTTTATTTCCGCTGTAAATGTAGTAATTGTTTGTTTTAAATATTCTTCTCTCAGCCTTTTGTTTGTCTTTTACATTTTCCTCTTCGAATGGTATTCTCGATCACTTTTAATATGGTCATATCTATGCAATGTAGTTTCGCAGTCTTGAAACTTAGCACAGGTCCATATCTTTGTTGCAGGTATCTCTTTGTTTATATGAGCAACTTTTATATTTTCTAAAGATATCTTGTCAGAAGTTTGTTCTCTTTGCTTCTTATATAGGAAAAAATCGTATCAGCATCGGATTTCTCTATTATAAAGGTATCAGCTTCTCCTAAGCACTCAGTTTTTGCACTGACAACTCAAGTGTTGTTCCAATGCAAATTTTCAATTATGAACACCCCCAACCTGGTCGGCTGCAAATACTTTCATAAAGCAATTTTTTTGTGCAAATTTTTGGCTAAAACAGGTTATTGTTCGGCTTCGACAAGTCAAAGAGGCAAAAAATAAAACAATATTGGCCTTTCACTTTTTTTATACATATGCTGAAAAATCAATAAAAGGCAAAAACGAAAACCGATAAACATTTTGACCCAAGCGAAAATAAAAACAAAAAAAAAATCAGTTTAAACGTCACGGTCCATTTTTGGCAACGTCATCTCGCGGCAGATCGAAGCCAAGGACGTCGCCGCCATTCGGAATCGCTGACACATTGTTATCACTTGTCAATGCAGGTTTCATTCGCACAGCGTTTAGCCCTCTGCAGCGCACGCTCCCCGCCGCGCCCTGATAGCTGCTCGCCGCCAGGGGCCAGTTGACAAAAGTTTATCTTTATCCCTATGCCAGCAGCCATGGCATGCCGCGATTTAATGGATTTTCAAGTTATTTCTGGTATTTTGTTGTAGTTGCCGCAACTCACAACTTGCGAATGCAGCTCGCAACTGCAACTACTTGAGCGCAAACAAAGATATCTCGGACACTCGTTTCTTGCCTGAGGCCAAAGAAAATGCCGCATAATTGCCGCTGTCGCGACACAAGGCGTCGAAGCCGGGGCTGATCGGAGGGGATTGTTGGCCAAATCGACAATGTTGTCAATGCTGCCGCTTTGGCATTTGATTTTATTTTTAACTAGACTGCAAATGATGCCCGGCATTGTAGGGGCATTAAAAAGGCACACACCACAGATTTACTACGGCAATTTACATTTTTTTTGCCGGAACTCTGTTACATTGCAGAAAATTATGAAAGTTGCTTGAAAATTTAATTAAAAACAAAGATTTTGAGAAGTGAAGCGTAACAAATTTGCAAGCATCATTAGCTTGCGATAATGTTTGCACTTATGCTGTTAGGTAACAGCATGTAGGTAACAGCATATAGGTAAAAGCAATATGTAATAATTCAAAAAAGTATTAAGCAGAAAAAGTTTGATAGAAGATTCAATAACATACAGCTGTTGATAACATACTGCCGAAGCTGTTGATAACAGGCCGTCGAAGCTGTTAACGTATGCAAGCTATGTGCATATGTTATTTAAAGATATTCGTTAATGTTAACGCATTCCAGCTACTGTTGTTGAAATTCTGGAGTTCTGTTAATATTGAGTTGTTGAGTATTAAAAATGATTTTAGGCCAATAATAAACTCCTGTTATCGCTTTTCTTGCCAATTGTTAACTTTAACATTTAATGCTTATTTAACATTACAATGCCGATTTATATGAAGGTTATCAAAAAGTATTTAGTTAGATAAAATAAATGCTTTAAATATTTTTTTCAGATATATATTGCTTGATAAATTCTTTATTCGTATAGAGCTTGCTAAGGCAGTTTCAGTTATCCTCATATCTCAGCTCACGTACCACTTTTGAAACTTATTTATATAAATTATTTTTAAAAGCAATTACGGGCACGCCAAGAGATACGGGGAAGATACATACTTGTACATATATAGTGCTAGAGACAGATACACGCAGCACATTGGCTTTTTATAGCTTCATTGGAGACGGCTACGGACTGTCCATGTCACTGGTCGGCAATCCCATCTACAAAATGGAAGCACGTATTATAAGAATTCGCACTAAGTGACTTTATTCTCAACTTTGAACTTAGTACCCCTTCCCCCTTTATACGTTGTCCCTTCTGTGCAGCACCCAATTCAATCGTTCAATGGATTTGACTACAGATTGCAGCTCCCTTTGGACATTCACACATTCGACAATCTGCTCGACACAGCGTTCCCACTTGTGGCTCGCCAGCCGCAGGCTATAAGGCACCAGGGCACCAAAGATTTGAGTAACAGGCAGCAGATACCCCCTGGCTGGTTCCACATCGAAGCGAAACAGTTTAAAGGAAGTGCCCCATTTCACACCCTGCTGCAAGAGGCGGTAAAGCGCTCTGTAGGGCGTGTTGCCGGGCAACCGCGACGCGGTGGCAAAATTTTGTGTTCCTTGCTGCAGGCGGGTTTTGGCCAGAAGTAGACGTGCTCTGGCTGTCTGCGTTTCCAGCGCCAGCTGTTGACTGATCTGATCTTCGATCAGTTGCAGCATGTGCAGGTGCAGGACATCCATTAGGCAGCCAGTATCCTCGTCAATCGTCGCCGTGGTGGTCGTCTCTTTATTCTCGCTGCTGGTTACCTTGTTCAGTTGATCGTGCTGTCTGCTCATTCCGTTGATTTGCTCCACTTTATTTTCTAAGCAGCCAGCTTCCTCTGCTTTAATCGTTGTCAATGTGTCTGCAGTACAGATCTCCGATGCCATTAAACTGTCCTCTCTGCTCATTTTTATATGATAAAAATGTAAATAAACAAGTTCAAATTTTAATCTAATTTTTGAGTAAAACCTCGAAGCATCTAAAAATCAGTTTGAAAACGAAACGAAACGAAAAATACAATAAAGAACAGTTCAGATGAAGACATAAAATGGTCGCATTTCACATGTACTGCATACTGCATGAAATCAATAGATAGCTTGTAAGCTGAGACAAACAATTCTATGTTAACTCGGCTGTTAAAACTGATTGGGGGTATATATCTCTATATATAAACTTTTTGCCTGACTGATTGATTGTAGTTACCTTATGTGATACGCTATGCCAGAATTTTGAGAAATTTTTCTTAGAATCCAAGTTTCTTCGGGCAAAATTGCAGATCAAAGATATTTTGGGCAATGTTTCAACTCTTGTCCGATTTGCTTGAAACTTTTTTTCCGAGCCCTACATAAGATCTTAATAAATGCGTGATTCTCAACACAAGAATAACCTGGGCAGAAATGTGGGTCCTTTTTTTAATCTTTATTCGATAGATTATAAACCTATTTATAAATATCTAATAATTATTCAACTTTAGTAGTTTAGCTCAATATAGTACGGGTATAATTAAATATTCCACGGGCAGGAAATGGATGAAAAGGCTATATATAAAATACGAAAAACTCAACTTGTCAAGGGCATGGCCAAGGCATACATTTGTAGATTGGGATATGTTACATATTACTTGACAAAATAATAATACCCTATACAGAAATATCAAGATATAAAACAATTTGTTTTTGTTTTCAGCAATATAGCCGAACTCCTGTATATATCTCAAATATAAAGTAGACAAGACAAAGGGCTACATATAAATATAAATGCACATTGGCTATATCTTATAGCTCTACTCCTACTTTATGTTTCTCCATTGTTTTATGTTTTCTTTCGGATATGTCTTTAGGATGTTAAGCATATACTTCTTATTATTAGCAGCTATTGGATCAACATAATCCACAAGTCTCAGTCTATATAGTTGACCTAAAATGCGAAAAACTTAAAGCACTTTGTGTTAAACTGGTTCTTTTGTTCAAGTGACCCTCATCTGTGGCAGATTTGTTGCTTGTGGTTTCATCTCCGACAGCTTTGTTTACTAGAGGTTTTTTGTTTTTCGTATTTTTTTTGGAGGCGTCTCTGGGCCACGCTTCGTTTGGCATTTTAGCATATTTCTCACATAAATCGCCAGCGACTTGGTTAGAGAAATTTTCACGCCTTGCTGACCATTGGCCAACACGCTGAGGCGGAGGCCTGCTCTTTAATCAAAATTGTGTACAAACTTATGCCAAATAGTACTTAATGCAGGCCCCTTTAAAGTGCCCCCCCCCCCCCTCTCTCTCTCTCTCTCTCTCTCTCTCTCTGCTGTTGCTGCTACTGCTGCTGGCAAACCGCAAACATTTTAATAAATTGCCAGTTATTAGTTGTCGGCAGCAGGAAAAAGTGCAATTAAAATGCATTCGAGTTACTAGAAAAAGGGCGTGGAAGGGGCTAGGGAAGTCACTGTAGGAAGTTCGAGGCAAAGCAAATTAGCATTAGCATTGACTTGAGTAAAAGAGACAAAGTGTGATGCCGGCTAAAAAGAGAGCAAAAACTGGCAAGATAGTTTCCCATAATTTGCGTAGCGCTGTGCACATAATCAGCTCAAGAGCAACGAGAAGGGGCAGCTAGGGAGAGAGTGTGAGCGAGCAAGAGAATGGTGAGGTGTAAGGTGTAGTGAGGAAGTCAGGGGCGGGGGAAACTGCGGTCACCTGCATAGCAAATGGTGTGAAATTTTTCGCAAAAAGTCGACAAAGCAGTTGCAAGCAGTGCTACAGCTGTTGTTGCCGTTAGAGAAAGGGGTTGGGGTTGGGGGGTGTTGCTGCCGCTGCTGCATTGTTCGCAACCGCACTTAGTTTTTGTTATTATTGCTGTAGTTGAAATTTGCATAAATGTTTTTAATTAAAGCATTTAAAGCATATTTTGTTAAGTGGCTTTTAGCTGGGCGAGCATTCAAGTTGCTAATGAAATTGAAAAGGAAGTGAAATGCACATGTGTGTAAAAACACACACACACACATGCATACGTGCACATTTATTTACATGTATTTATGAGAATATTATGGAAGCACTTAATTTCATACTTTGCTGCATAGAAAGAATCTTTGTTTATTTGCCTTTTTGTTGCTTTGATTTTGAATTTTATGTAAATTTTATGTGTAATGCCCTTAATACTATTATTGTTGTTCAATTAGTGTATTTGTTAGATTATCAAATCATGCTTAAGGCCATGTGCATCGAATGAATTTTAGATTTCAGCTGCTTTTTTGGCCTAAAACTCATTTAATAGGGAAGTGAGCTGGTTGCAGAGCATCATTGTTAAGAAAAGACAATGGGAAACAATTATGAGCTTTTCAAATTACTTCAGATAATTGTAATTGAAAATCTATTGAAGCCAGTTGGAAATTTAAATGCCACTCTTACTCATGGTAAATTTTGGTTAGATTTATTTGTTTAACGATATGTGTATATCAATTATATTTCTGTTAAATTCTCAGCTCATCTTTTATTATACTCGAAGCATGTGCATTAGTGTGGAAATGTTTATTGGTACGAATTTAAGTTTTGTTCAATACACTTAAACATGGCAGTAATCACTTAAGTAAGCATTTAAGTATAACTACAGTGTAAAGTAGTTCAGTGGGAACTTCTTCACTTATGCACCTTTTTTTTTTACCACATATTAGAAAGGAAGTTTTATCTTACATCTGTCTGCTTGCTGTTGCATTGAACAAAGAATGTCTTTAGATATTGCAATTTATAAATAAACAAAATTGCTGGCAGCCACAGCTGCCCTCTATCAGAGGGAGCTTTAACAGCCTGTTCATGCACCTTGACACGGATAATTAGCTCATGTCTATTAATATGGATATGGATATTAAAGTAAGGATATCTTCGGCACGCCAAAGCTTTAATACACTTGTAGAAATTTGACAACCGTGAAGCTCGTACAAGCTTTATGACATTATAGTTCGTTGTACACAAGGAGCATAGTTAAACTATTATTTGACGAGTTTGGGCAAGATATTATGAAAAATAAAAATGTTTTCCATACAATTACCTACTTTTGGCCAATCAGGTCGGTTCTAACATCTGTACTGCCTGCAACAGGGAGATGGACCTATGCAAAGTTTAAAGACGATAAATTCAAAACTAGTCTCTCAGATTGCATTTTAACTCGGCTGTTCATGCAGATCTAGAATATATATACTTTATCAGTCGAAGTCCGCCAGAGATGTCTCCTTCTATCTAAAGTCAACTCCACTTATTGAAGATGATGGAAAAGTGGTGCATAAAAGTAAAGATAAAACTTGCCCAGGAGAATGACTGATAATAACAACTATTATTTATTAAAAACAAATTATTTGTATTTTATATTTTATTTTAAACGCAAACTATTCTTCTGCTTCTTAGTCATATTGATAAATAGTATATGGTTATAGAAAGAAATTCATGATGACGTTGCACTCATCCTAAATTGATATTATTTTATTTATCGACAAACAACTTTACAGGCAAATAGTTGAAATTGATTTGAAAATATTGTTGCACAGTTGCAACAATGTTAAATAGCAACTGCGATTGTCGAAATTGCACGTTGCATGCCAACCAAAATTTGCACGTTTCCTTTTGGTTCTTTTGGTAGCTCATCTAACTAATGGCGTCCCATTGCAGAGTTGACATGGTGCAACAATTTCTTTTTCTCTCTTCATGCCGCACTGTCAACAGAGCTGAACAATTTTTATTTATGCGCTTTTGTAGCGCCAAAATTCTCGACGGCAGCCGTCAGTCAACACTGGGAGATTGCCAGGGAGGTGGACGAGCAGTGGACAGGCAGATAGACGAACTGGGATGTGGGCACAGTTGTCGGACTGGCTGGTAGCTTGCAACATGGCGCAGGCCGTTGGTACGATGGAAAGCAAACAAACAGTAAACTGGGGAACGCCACTCAAAGTCGCGGCTTCCTGGCTGACACACTTTATGCCCCCGTCCAACAGACGCCACTTGGCTTGACGAGAGATGGGCGGCCGGGGAACGATGGCGCATAGGGGCTTGGAGTCTGAGTCTGGGTAAACTAGTGGATAGAGCGTGTATCGGAAGCCTTTTGCTTGCCAGTCTAATTGAAGTCGAGTGCATAGCTTGCAGCTTTTCTGCTTTGGCATCTACAGAAACTAACTTTGACATTATGCGCCACAAATTGTGGCAATTTAAAGCCAATTTAAGTCGCTGCAACAGAAAATATTTCACAGCTCCAGATACCAAATGTGCCAACGCGCTCAATCGACCGAATCAGATTCGTCTCCCTCTCTCTCTCCCTCTCTCTCTCTCGCTCTCTCTGTCTGTCTATCTTTCTTCTTAATCCACCGTTTCAACTGTCTGCCACATCGTCTAAAGGTAACAATTTATATAATGAAACTGATTTCAAATTTGTGATGTACAGGCCGCAAGCGCGAACTGAGCTTCGTAATTACCGGTCCCGGCCAAAACAACAGTTATAAAAGAGGCGTCCAGAAAAGTCCAAAAAAGAAGACGACATGCCACAAAATTGAAGTAAATACCTAAACGAAGCCTCAATACACTTGTTTTCGTATTATTTCACCTCATTTTGTAGTCTTACTTGTCTTTAATATTTAAGATACTCTCAAATATAGTTTTTAATTTAATTCATAATCTTTCATAAAACGCAAATCTTTAATTAAAACAAAAGAAAATAAATAAATGTCTCTGACATTTTGTGGAGATGTTTGTAGATTATCTTTTATAAAGCTCCTTTCAATTTTATTTGACACAAGTAAATTAGAAAAAAACATCCTGCAGCCGTTGTAAATTGCGCTCAGCATTTGAAGTATGCCCTGTTAGGGTATCTGAAATTAAATATAGAATTAAAACAAGTTTAAGAAGTGAACCGACTGGTGTCGGAACCGCGACCGCTGTTGGTCACCTGTTTGGCCGGCTCGTTGGGATATGTTATTTCGATTGGTCTCCCAAAATGTATTTGTGCCATGGCGAAGAAGAACCGCAACATGATTTGGCAACTTGGCAACTTTCTTGTGGCATGTGCAACGTGCTGAAGCAAGGAAAAACACGTTGCAAAAATCATCTGTTGAATTCCGCATCTCCGGCCGAACGGCCCAACCCACCTGACTAGGCAACTTTTCGTGTGGGAGTCGTTGCCAGATTTTGCGGTTACTTTGAAAAATCTTTGGAATGTTTTTTGTTGTTGTATTTTTCCTTAATTCTTTCTTTTTGTTTGATAAAAAAGAAAGTTGACATAAATTGTTAACTCGAAGTTTTTTATTTTGCGCTCGCCCAGTTGAAGTTGCGGTGGCAAAAAAGTTGCCAGTTGCTGTCTTTTGCCATTTTGTTGTTGTTGTTGTTTCTTGTGCTGTTGTTGTCGTTGTCTTATGTCGTGCGCAGGAAGGAAATAACTGAAGTTTAGCTAGCAGAGGGGGGTAAAGCGTTGGGGACTGCGGATGGTTTTTGGCAAGTTATTGTGGGATTTTGGCGCTGAAATGAAATGCATTTGAAAGTTCGTGAAACAAGTTAATCGTCTGTGAGTCTGCCAGTTTATGGCTTGAGCTCCATGGATAGATGAAATGAAAAGCAGTGTGATGATTGAATTTAAGATGAATTTGAAGAGGATAATACGATGTGTGCATGCATTAAAACGTACAAAAGGGGCTTGCGATTGCCGCTCTCATTAAATTCCTTTTTTTATTGACAGCAAATTAAATCTTATTGATTTTATTATATTTTCTACAATTAAAAGAAGTCTGTATTTGAGAGAACTTAAAAGCATTGGCAATACAATTCAAATGCCTAAGAAATGGCGAGTAACATTTTTGAAATTTACAATTTTTGAGCTACTTATTTTAAGTTAATTTAAATTAACATAATTTACATATTATCTTTAAGTGAATCAGACAAATTTGTATTTTCCCTCTGAAATATTGTTATACTTAGCTGGTAATTTAAATAATATTCATTTAATTTTAATTATTTAATTTATTTTTTTTCAGCACAAATCTCAAGTTGCTAACCAAATTCAGCTCGGACTGGTGTCCCGCACAGCCCTAGATCACAAAATTCAGCTTCGGCAACAACCGAACCACAAAAATCACCAACGTTTTAGCGCGAGCACTTACCAAGTACCAAGCATACCAGCTAGCATATGCACAAACCCAAACGATCAACAACGTCACATGTTTAAAGCTTTTCAAGCTAAACGAAGCTTCACAGCATGGCCTCCGCAGCAAATACAACAACCGAAACGACAATGTCGCAAAGCAATGACACAAACCCAACAGCAACAGCGGACGATGACTACATAACCGTTGTTGAAGTTGACGATCCCACATCGTCCACCAAAGACACAAACCATTTGAAGAAGCTAGTCAAACGGCAAAGTTCCGTGGCCGAAGACTCCTCATTTATCACCGTGCTGACCATTAACGAGCAGCAACAACAGCTGCTCCAGCAACAGCAGCAGGAACAACAGCAGCAACAGCAAAAGGATCAGCACGAATCGCTAACCGAGGCGGATGAATCGGAGCACGTTACCGTCTACCGCCTGCCGGGTGAGCGTCTGGGCTTTGGCCTTAAATTTCAGGGAGGCACACGCAACACGGAGCTGGTGCAAAAGCTGTACATACAGTCGTGCGCCGCCGACAGTCCCGCCTCCAAGGTGGCCACCAGTTGGGGACATTTGCGCGAGGGCGATGAAATTCAAAGCATTGATGGGCGGTTGGTCTCGCAAATGACGCGCATAGATTGTGTGCGCTGCCTCAAGGATAGTGTGGCAATTAATCTAATCGTACGCAATGGTCACGGCCAGAAGCCGCCCAGCGAGGAGGAGCAGCAGACAGATGTGTCCATTGTGCTCAATGCCCAGCCACCGCCGCCGCCACCAGTGCCACCACGCAAACTGGTGAAGCGACAAAACTCCAAAGAGGGGCCCTCCACAGTACAGCTCGTTGTAGAGAAGCCATTGACACCACCGCCAGATGCCGAATACTATATCAATCTCTTTGCTGAATCTCTTAAGGCCGGCTCGGAGTCGGATGACACAGCGAGCACCATTTCCACTGTCATTGATAAGCTCTCCATGGGGTCCAATTACTCATCCGATACGGAGTTGGCCGGCAGCCTGAACGGACCCGAGCTGGCCAAGCTGGTGCAGCCGTTTACATTGCTCGAGCAAGAATTTCAATTGGAACAGACACTATCTCAGCCCAAGCTAATCATACCGGGCAACAATTACGAGAATGTCGAGTTCAAGACGGAGAAAGTCAATGTCTATGAAAATGTTGAGCTGAAGAGTCCGCTTGGCACTCCAACGCCAAAACCACGTGTGCTGCTTGCCACCGTGGAGCCCAAGAAGCGTTCCATAATTCCTATGCCGCGCAAAATCGCTACGCCCACTAAGTTGCCTATTGAAGTTGCGCCTCCGAAAGTTCCAGTTGATTCACCCATAACGCCCACCAATGAGTTGGCCAGCACACCCACAAATGAGCCCACCAAGGAGGTCAAAGAGTTCAGCGCCAAGATACCCAAGGCCAAACCGTTGAGCTCCATAGTCAGTCCGGGATTTTCACGTGCCAAAACTGAGGGCGAGATTAAGCTTCATCTTCAGCCCATCAAGCAACAGTCACCGCAGCTGAAATCTCGCATTCCCATCGTCACAACCCCAGTCCAGAAATCACCTCCAGCTAATAAGTCAATAATAGCTTCGTCGCCGCCACCGTCAACAGCTAGCTCCAACATTCCTCGCCTGCTGCAGAAGCAAAAGTCGGAAACGGATCTGAAGTTGGGCTTTTATCGCAGCAAGTCCAAGGATGCCAGTCCCAGTCCTGGACACCTGAGAGCGCCACTGCAGCGTGCCAATTCCGCGGAGGCGCCGGCACGAACCACACCTGAACGCACTTACATACCTGTGCTACTCAACAGCGGCTCCCGGAGCAGCTCCAACTCGACGGAGTCGCTTAGCTCCATATGCAGCAATGGCAGCAACAGCCAACGTTCTCCAAAGGGACCCAAACCGAAGCCTCCGGAGCGCGTTCAGTCACTGCAAAAGACCCAAATACCCAAACTGCAGTCGCTGCCAACGACTCCTCCACAGCAGCAGCCAAAGCTGAGCATGCAGACCTTCAGGCAGGCCACCCATGGTACACCTCCAGCGACGCCCGTGAATACGCCCTCGCCCACCAGCAATCGTGAGATACGCTTCAAGATACAGACCTACGAAAGCAAGGCCCAAGATGAGGACAAGTTGCCCAGTCTCTTCGATCTGGTGCACAAGCAGGAGGCAGTCGAGAAACTGGAGACGTCACCGAAACCACAACGTGACATAACCGCTTTGCTGGCAGCGGTAGCTGCGGAGGCAGCCGATCTGGCAAGGGAATCGCCACCTCCCTTGGTGGTAGGCAAGTGCACCAAGATTGTGGATGATAATCAGAGCACAACGTGTTACTCAAGCTCCAGCAGTGATGAGGATGATGCCGAACAGGATGATGTAGATGCCGCCGAGCGCGAGTATATCTGTGAGGATGGCGAAAAGCTGGGTCCACCAGAGTTAATCAATGGGCCGGGCCCCTCGGAGGCTTACTTTAACATGTATTGGCATTCGAATATGCTGCCCACCATTGGAGAGGTTGAGGAAGAGTTCTCGTCGCTCGAGCCGCAATCCTTGACGAACGGGTGAGTACAGAAATAATGATAATGAGCGCTAGAAAGGTTGGGTATGAATTGGCACAGGTCGACTGAAGTATATAAAGTGGGTGTAGGAAAAATGAGTCCAAGTTTTAAGAGTCGAAATAGGCGACTTTTTAAAGAAAATAAACAAAACAAGATTGATATAACAAAATCGAAGTACTTAGAGATTAGATAAGATAAGATATAAGATTTGGATTATCAGCAGATTTATACCCTGATTGAGTCTATTATTACAATTGTATCATGAATTGTGAGACACATAGAAAGTTACCTCTCCGACTTTGTATGCTCTTGATCTTAGGTAACTGCCGAGTCGATATAGTCATGTCCTAACCTGTGCTCTATGCATTTCTCCAAATTTGTATTCCTATATTATATGATTCCTGCAGGAACAATCCGTTGGAAATAAAGCTTTTCCACAATAGAACTTCTAAGCCACATGCTTACGAGAGTATTAAGTCTGCAACGTGCCGAATTTAGCCGTGCTTTCTTCTTTTACTGTGTTAAATATAATACAGTGAAACGTTTGTACACTGGTAAAGGTAGAAACTTGCGCAATTCATCATATGCTAGTCATATTCTTACCAGATACGGCTTTCCAGTCTCACAGTTGCCAAAATTTTTTGCAAATAATAGAAATGGGTAAATATTTGCGGTATATAAACCTAACTATAGGAACTCACACATTCAGGCCTTTGGCCAGGCGGAGGGGCAACCCCCGTTTATAGACTGATAAGAAAAATGCCGGTGTGTTTACTAACACCGCCAAACGCACTGATAAAAGCCTGAATATTTGTATGCGCAACTGATAACGGCTAATGGCAAACGGCAAACGGTATTCGGCGAACGTTTGGGCCAACTAGTTCAATTTCGAAAGGCGAAAGGCAAAGGTTTGCGGGGTTGCATATAATTTGCGCAGCGTTTGAAATCAAGCAGCTGACGGGCAAATTTCCGTTTGCTGTAGCGACAGGTTCGGAAACGTTTCAATTAACATACATATATACAATTTGATAAAACGCCAATCATTCTAATTACCCAATGTGATATACACCTGTCTGTCTACCCAACAGCCAACCGAGTGCGATTGCGGAGGAGCTAAAGAAGTTACCGAACTACGTGCAACCAGCGAAGGTGACGAAGGCGAACACTGCCAAAATGGAAGCCCAAGCAGCAACGGAGGAGGCTCCTCAAGTCAAGAGCGTTGATAAGATTGTTGCCCATAATGATGACGCAGTCGACGATGGCGATAAGGCTGACCAAAACGCTGACCATTTCGAAGAGAGCAGCAGCTCAAGCAGCACAACGCAGCAGAGCGAAACGAGCAGCACGCAGGAAACTAGCGAAAGCAGCGAGAAGAGCACCAGCAAGACACAACGTACGATTACCAGAAAGGTGGTTACCACTAAGACAAGCAGCACCACAAGCACCAGCAGCAGCTCCTCGAGCTTTATGAGTCCCACAGCAGACATTAGCTTCAAGCTGCAACCGTATGAGGAGCGTGAGGAGGCGCAGACAACGACACCGACAACCACAACGACCGTACATGAGGAGCGTCGCGTTGTTAGCGAACAGAAGACGCTCAGCGAGCTGAGAACCAAGGATGCGCTGACCGGTGAGGAGCAGCTGGTGACCAGCGCCGAGTCCAAGTCAAGCAGTGCACGCTTCAAGAAGATCAGCAGCAACGACAATCTGCTCGACCTGGCCGATGTCGAGCAGCTGCAGCCGTTGACTGCCACCGTCTCTGCGGAGACGCGTCTAACGGAGCGTCTGGAAAATCCACAGGATAAACAGAGTATTGAAACGGGTATTTTGACATTATCCGAATGTGGCAAGCAGCTGCAGCTGTCCGAAAACGGTGGCATCAGCTACACCGAATGCGAGCAGACCGAACAACAGACCTATTTGGAGGGCCAACAGATCCTTAACGAGCAGCCCGTCGACGTAAATGCGCAGCCCACACTCGAGAGGGAATTCAGCGAGACTCTAACGGTTAGCAAGGATGGTGAGAAGCAGGTGACCAAGCGACTGGAGCAAAGCAAAGAAACGCCCTGCAAGAAGGGGGCCAAGCTGCTGAAGAAGACCGATGAGGAGCGTCGCCTAGAGCAGGAGGCGCAAAAGATTATCGAGAGCTATCAGAAAGTAAAGAAGGAGACCGAGAAACTGTACAATCTGCAGCTGGCAGATGATGAGCAGGGCTTTGATCTGAGTGCCTTTGAGCAGGTTGAACCCCATGCAGAGCAGCAGGCCGAGGCAGAAGTTGTGCAGCCAGAGGAGGAGCTGGTGAAGGAGGAGGTGGTGGTGAAGGAGGAACTGGTGAAAGAGGAGGTGGTGAAAGAGGAGATGGTTAAGGAGGAGATTATCAAACCTGTGGAGGAGGTAACTGTGCACGAACAATTGGAAATTACTTTACCCGCTGTCGAGGACGATCTGGGCTATGTGCTGCACAAAAACATCATAGATCCACCAAAGCCGGAAATCGTTATCGAGGAAGTAATCAGGGCAGCTGCGCCCAAGGCAGCGCCCAAGGCAACGCCCAAACCGAAGCCGCCCTTGCCAAGTGCCAAGCCAAAGGTGTCGCCAACCATTGTTAAACCCAAAACAGCTCCGCCGCCCGTGCCTAGTAAGCGCAGTGAGCTGGGACTGGGAGGCAAACCGACGCCCACACAGCGACGCAGCAGTCTGGAGCTACAGAGTCCGCCCAAGCCGTTAGAACGCATCATTGTGGGCGTGGAGCAGACAGAACCCAGCCCAATTATCAATTTGGCCAGCGTCGATCTGCCCAATGTAGCGCCCGCTACTGTTGTCCCCCACAAGTCGAATGTCAATGATAATGCTGTTGACCTGCTGCAGGATGAGCTGCACTTTGAGAGCCATAAACTGCCGAACGCCGAGAAACAACGAGAGGTTGAGGGCGAGGTGACCATAGAGGGGCGCGGCCCGGAGCAGGGACAGGGGCAGGCCGAAGTAAATGGCATTGTTCTAAGTGCCAGCTCATCGATGACATCAACAGCATCATCGTCATCGTCGGCGGCAACGCCAATAACAACGCCAATTTTGGTATCAGCAACGTCATCACTAGATTCGGTCAAAAGTGTCATCGAGGTCATCAATGGGCATGCCACCGACAGAACCGAGGGGCACAGCAACGACAACAGCTGCAATAGCCTAAATGGAGCCGTAGTAGTCGCTGATGACACTGAACCCAGCGAGGAGCATGTGGAGAATGTGTCAACGTTGACGCTCGATAGAGAACACGAAACAGGTAAGTGCTTGTCAGATGCAGGGCTTAAGGGCTTAAGGTTTAGCTGAGTGCAAAACGAGCCTATATACTGTGACCGTGGGTGCCTATTAGATACATTTTTGGGCTTTGACTCTTTTGCACTTTGAACAGCATTTCCTTAAAATCATTTATTCTTTTTTTCCCATATAACTAGAATGCGTAATTTAATATTAATATTAATAGTGAGGCAAATTGTTTTATTATTATTAAACAGAACATATTTAAGGGGTTCATTTAGTTTTTAATTAGCTTCCGTTAATACACAATATATTGTATTTTCTCAAGTTAATAACTAATATTATTGTTTTCATTCTTATTTGATCATTAATATTATTATTTGCTATTTTTTCAATTTACATTATTTATTTTATTATTTTTTTTTTTGTGAATTTTATGTTCATTAATATTAAATAAAAAAAATTTAATTTCTTCAAATTAAACTTTTACAGTTAATAATAATATTATTATAATTATTTACATACATATATTTTTATTCTGTGAATTTTTTTTTTTATTTTATGATTATTTTTATTTAAAATTTTTTTTTATTTAATTATTTTATTATTATTATACCTAAATATGATTATTTATTTTGTTATTAATATTGTTATTAGTATTTTAATTTACGGGACTCTTGCACAACTTCTCCGTAAATAGTTAATAATAAGCTATAGACTTCTATATCTTCTGTTACACTGAGCACTACTTATTATAGGTATATATATATATATATATATTCTGCCTTCCATGATAAATGGACAAAAAAGAACACTATAATTGTGAGCAACGATTTCTACTTAATATTATTTTGTTGCTTTTTAATGAATTTTTGTCAATTTTTCGACACACGTCTCACTTTAGCTATGAATTCAAAATTGTGTCAAATGACCAAATGCTCTGCTAGAGCCAGGCGTAATGCGGGGCTGGGTGATTGTTTGCCCAGCAGCGCTCAATGAGCATTAAGCTGTGGTCACTGCGGCTGCCAACCGGCCCCGGTAGGTCCGCTTGCCAAGCTGATTTTTGACAACTCTTGTCTCTAAACGGACAGTCCGTTAGTCAGACGCATCCAATTATTGGTCACTATATGTATGTATGTGTTGGAGGCGTTTCCCTCTCCGGCGCCATTAAGTCCGTTGCCATAAGCCGCAATTTGGAACTCTAAGCTGTACAGTTCGCAATTCCTCTCTTTTGGTTCTTCCCCTCCATTGCCAGATCTACTTGGTTTGCATTTTGTTTGCCTTTAGCATATGCAAAATGCGACTAATGGACTTTATGGACTCTTTTTGTGCCAACTGAAACTGAAACTGAAACTGACGAGTCGCCAGCAGTTTTGTCTGGTCAGCAGGGTCTAGTTATTGGGAGCCACCCATTTTGGTTGGCGTGAATGCAATTTTGGGGAGTAGCTGTTAAAGTTGAATTGGAAATATGATCAGAGGTTTTTATCTCTGATGCGTAATAATCTAATAAATGAAACATTTTACGCACGTTTTTATAGAGAGTTTCTTAAATGTTCAATTTATATTTGCTTAAGATTCGCTGAAGTCTTCACCTGCCTTAAGTTCGAATATTTGCAAATATATTTTACAATCATTTCACACTACAATCCCTTAACATTTGCTGTTAAACGGCATAGATTTCCATTTTTAATGCATATGTAATAAAAACTCTATATTTTCTCTGCCGGCATTGTCATTTATTTGAAATTATTTATTTGTGCTTTATCCACAGTATTGCCAATTATATTGCAATCGGAATATGAATTTTACATTTGGAATGTATAAAAGCAAATGACTAAAGTCGACAATGCTGTGAATTATAATATTTGAAATATGCCAAATTTATTTCACCATATCGAGCAAATTATTTTCATTTAACTGAGCGCCAGAGCACAAAAACGAAATAATATAAATAAAACCTTAAAAAACAATTGCCATAAAATGTAAATTGCAACAGCGGGTAAGTGCAACAGTATTACGTATACGCATATATATATACATATACATATGCATATATGTATGTTGCCCTCTCGTTCTAACGTAATTGTTTGGCTTAAATATTTCATGTGCATTGGATTTGCGTTACCTGTGCAAACGACACATTTGCATTTTGGTTATAAAAACAAACCAAATCCAATGAACGGGTAGCGGCACGATACGTGCAAATAAAATATTGGCAAAATGTTTTAATTAAACAAAAACTGACAAATATTGGCACCTGTATTCCCAGCTAGGCATTGCCGGCATTGCATGCAACAAAACATTTGCATACCAAAATGCGTCCCAAAATGCAGATTGGTTTTCTGCTGCGGTCGATTCACTCTCAGGGGTTGGTGCATATATCCTTTCCAAAATATTAATCAAAAATTTTGCAGCGCAACTGAATTGCATTTGCATATTATACAGTGGCACACACTCAGCATAAGTTCGGGTAACAATATCGTAAATTTTAATGTCTGTATGCGACAAATATCATAGAAATTTAATTATCTAATCGATAGCTCACATTTTGATTGATCCATAAACAAAAATTGCCATTTGCCAACAATCATAAAAGGCTATCTTACGAGCCAAAATATTACATACCCACATGTAGCTGACAGTCGAACCACTGTTCTGATTGAGTTCTGCCTTTGGAAGGCATTTATTTTAGTGTTAAACATTTTGGTTGCGTCACACTGACTGATGATAAAAAATAACAAATAATCGATTTTGCTTAGCATATCGTGGACTTTACTGCAAAGTGTACTTTCAAATGAAAAATATCGATAAATATCGCGCTGAAGAACTTATCCTCGATTCAGTAAAGTGCGTATAACGCATGGTTTCCACGATCTTAGTATAAGTATATTATATGATGTAAAGATAAACAAAAACATTGAAAATGGGTAACTTGTGCAAGTGCATGTGACAGGGAGAAGGAAGCACTGTTCCCATAAAGTATATATATATTTTTGCATCAATAACCGAGTCGATCTAGCCATATTCATCTCTGCCCGTGTACATGAAAGCTTCTATTTCAGAACCTATGAGATAAAGAGACTTCAAAGTAGGTTCTCCTAGTGCCCGCTTACTGCTAACTAGTTGGGTTCCGTTCCCGTTTACAAGCAATCGATAAATTCGAAATCCTGTTTTTGAGCAAATATCTTCGATTTTAATGGCTTGAGGCACCAAACTTGACAAGTAGCTTGTAAACTAGTATATAATGCAGATCTAATATTTTTCATTGTATAACCAACGTTCCTCCCCCCTAGCGCAAGCTTCATTTTGTTTTGGTATAAGAAGGGTATCCCCTAGTCGTGCACTCCCGACTAAATTACTTTTACTTGTTTTTTATTATTTTGCACCTCACATAGCACTCGCATATTTTTCGCATATACTGATATAGCAAATAGTTGATTTAGTTAAGTAAACTTACGGGCATTGAATTTATTGTTCTTTTTGCCATGACGTCATACATATTAAATTAAAGCTGATTTTATTTCATTCCCATGCGTATATATGGAATTGCTCTGTCATAAAAGTAAATATTTTTACGGCGCATTCAATTTCATAATTACAGTCCTTTGGCTATTTGTGTTATTCTTTCTCACCCTCTCTCTATCTCTCTCTCTCTCTCTCGCTCTCTCTTTCTGTTTATCTCTTTAATGATAATAATTTTTATAACCGAAATGCATTGATAGATAGCATTGTTTTTCATATCGAATGTTATCTATCAATTGACAAGAATTTCATCCATGCCATATGTCGATTGGCTTGATTCTTTCCGATAAGACCTTATCAGCATTGCCAAAGCTATGCGTGTTGTAATTAGTTGTTTGGCCCAAATATTTTGCTAATCCGTCAACAGTTGCTGCTCAACCCACCGAACCAACTAAGTCCAAACCGCTCCAGCTGCCCATTTCAAGCAGCTGCTACTCGCCAGCTTTGCGTTGGAACTGTGTCTACGTCAGCGCCAGGTCCAGCGTTCGGTGTTCAGTGCTCAGTGCCCAGTCAGTGCACTCAACACTTTGAAATTGGATTTGGAGCCAAAATGAGCAGCTGACCAGCTGACTGAATGACTGACAAGCTGTAGAGCCCCTCGGCGCGCCCTCTTCCGCTACATCTAAGCCCGCCGAAAGCGGTCGGCATAATTGCTTTTGGGCACATGTCACCCACTCAAGCGCCAGCGGTTCGGACTGCAGCTCAAAAGGAGCACTTGGGCCCCCACCATGGTGCTAATGAAAATGCATGACGCGCAGTTGGCGCAGGCTAGATGTGCAGTTGAGTCCTGTGTGTCGTGTGTAGTTGGGCTCTGTTTTAGAAAACAAGCCCCGATTGGGTATAACACTTTTCACGCAGAGCTTAATAAGTTTAGAAAGGCAAAAGCTAAGCAAACGAAATTTGATTTAGTTAGAAAACAAAATCCTTTAAATATGTTTTTATTGTAGCAAGATGCATAAGTTGGATGTAAAACTTTGAAACGTATGATAAGAGTTGTTTTCCCTTGCATACCTTGAAGAGCCTGTAATAGTTGAGCAAGACTAGAACTTCTTTGGAACACCAAAAGTATGCCACAGAATTTTATTGTTTTTACATTTATTAGAAGAAAATCTATTACTAGAAACTTAATGTGTTAATTATATATAAATTTATGCAAAAGCCTTAGGCAGGGTGTAAATATTGTGAATATTTGTATAGTATTTTCAATATTTACCTATTGGAAATGGGTAAATAAGGGTATATTGGTTTTCTGAAAATGTATGTAACAAGCAGAAAGAAGCTTATTCCTCTTTTAGATATATATACTCTAGGCGGTACGATTTCGAATACTAAAAACTCATATATCATGCGCAAAAGAAAAAAAAATCATGTTTCTATCTGATATCTATAAGTATTGATTGTCGCAGGGTATCTACTAGTCGGACATTGCCTACTTAAGCACTCTTGGTTTTTCTGTTGCTTTTGCTTTGCTGTGGCTTACAATTTTCAATTGACAGCCTTGTC